TGGTCAAGCGGTACGATGGAAGTTGTTTCTCTTACATCTCGTACGTGTCATTGGTGCTGGAAGCGCCCACGGCACAAAAGTTTCCTCGTGTCGCCGGTCTGGAACCTGTTGTCTGCTGAGTATACCACTTGTCGGCTGAGTAAGTGTCAGTGCCTTGTTGAAACACGCGTCGCCAAGAGAGTCTACTGACTGCTGGGATTATACAAGGCGACCTTGTTGAAGTCCACCTCCTCCCAGCTCCCTTTCGGTAACGAGACTGGTGCCTGGCCTCCGCCTAAGAAGAGCAGCATTCCGCCGGATCCAAACGGCACGAACTGTGATGAGCCTCTTACTGAGGTCCCATATTGACCGAACCCTGTAGAGGACGTATTTTTTATCTCTCCCGAAGTCATGTTGTACGATATTAGTCCAGGAAGGGCGAGAGCATTGTTATAAGTAGAGGTATCCGTTCTGGAGTTTGCAACCCCGCCAAAGTAGTATCCCACATCCTTACTCTGTGTGAAAGAGGCTTCTGTGGTGCGGGTGAGCTTGCTGAAAGCGACGACGCTCGCGGGGGTGACCTGCGACCAGGTTCCACCACCGTTACCGTCCACCTTGAAATGCCATAACTCTTTTGCCGGGGGCGTGTCGGAGTAGGACATCATGCCGCCCCAAACGTAGAATCCGGTCGAGGATGGGTCTCGCCATATGGCCTGCCAATTGAGCTTCGGTCCGTTCTTGGGAGTGGATGTCATCGTGACGCTAGAGTTGGTCCATGATTGTTCGAGACAGATGGAGAGTGTCGAGTTCACTGGAGAAAGCGACAGACGTCAATGATGTGTCCTAATTTCAATTTGAATTGGACGTAAACCCTACCTGGCCACGACGGGTGGTTGGCAGTGGTCCCGTTTTTGCCGTTGTATAACTGGGATACCTCGCCGCCGTCTATATACACATAGCCACCTATGACGATTGCTACTCAAGTTAAAATGCGACACTCGGTCGTGAGGTGTCTGATGAAGTCTTCGACATACCTGAAGGGAAAGCTCTCCTCAGGAAATCAGAAGGAGACGGAGCGTCATCGCGGATTATCAGCCTTGATTTTCCAAAGGGATTCCAACACTGCGCTGAAACCACCAACCAAGAGAACAGTAACAACGCTGTACGACACATTGATGAATAGAGTATGAAAACACTCGGTCTGGCCTCTTTGACGAAGAAAGAGAAAGAAGGGATGCGTTGTCTTCGGAAGTCTGAAGTATGGCGTTAGGGAAAGGGCTGTATGAGGGAAACAGCAAATGTCTTCCGAATTCGAGAATTGGTCCCATCGCCTTGGAGCAAACTTACCTCAGCCGAAGTCCGTAGGCTGCCTTCTCTTGGTCTGTCACGCCACCAGTGCCCATCTCTTGTGTGACCAGACTGGAGAATCTGGTGGACGAAAGGGAACAAATGTCGAGCCCTGTCTTAGCTTGAGGCGGACATTTTCCGCCCGATGATTGACTACTGGCTACGCCCACCTGCTGTGAAGCTTGGGCATGGCTGTCAGCCTTGGATGTGCCCATCACCATCGAGGCTGTGGCAGGGAGGCTGAGGCGAGACAAATTTAGATGAGATGGCTGTCGTTGAACAGCCATTTGAGAGCCCACCGCTCTCTGGGGAAAGCACAAGGCTTGGCTGTGGAATGATCGCTGCTGTGAGCATGTTTTGGCAAGACTTCTGGTGGAGGCTTTGATGATTTCTCTTAATCATGAAACACAGCAGTACAGGTGATCAAGGTGACTTGGATCTAGGAGAAGTCATGTAATGACCGACCGCACGTGGGGTTACTTAAGCTCAACTTTGCCAGTTGGAATAGCCCATCGACCCCTTGCTCCTTCTTGGAACTCTGTGGAGCTTTGTCACGCTTCACTAAGACCACCTGCTTCTTACGCCGAGCTTCCTTGACATTGATACCACTATTGCCTACCTGCAAGGTGCCAAGTTGGACAAGGCAGGCGCTGTGGTGCTTGATGTAGGCAGCCTGCCCATCTCCAGGCGTAAGCAAGTCTGAGACTAGGCTATGAGGCTGATCTTGGCAAGAGCCGGCCTGAATGTTCTCATTCATTGGGCAAGATAACCAGAGCTCGAGTGCTTGTAATTGGGTCTTGTACACGTATTCCTGTTGATATCAAATTAGGTTGTTCTTATCTTGTAGTATCTGACTGTGATATTCTGGCTCACAGATGGTGACCGAAGGGCAGGCGCACAGCAAGCACCTCGTGCAGCTAGTCGTTATGGTACATATTGTTATGCCTAAATCTTCGCGCGTGACCGAGAATCTCGAATTACTTTACGATATGGTCGCCCTTCGCGTTCAAGCCTCAAGACCGAAGGTGCATCCACCCTCCCTCAGGCATACGAAGGTCCACAACTTCAGTCGATTTACCTTACTAAAACAACACTAGTGAGAGCACCATGGGGCATTTGGGTTTCTCATCCCGCAACTCGAGCGTATGTATTTGGGTTCCATCTTGTCGTTCCAGATCCGACAGAGATCCTGTCGGTCGACAGAGATCCTGTCGGAGGTATTCGTAGACTTGCAATTCATCGTAGACAGGGCTCGGGTCTCGGTGAAAGACCTTCCCAGGCCGGCAGATCACGGAGACCGAAGATGTAGAATAGTGGAGATTTCGGCGGACAGTTTCGGAGGTATGTGTCTACGACTCTCCGGTCCGTCCTTGTCTGTCGGGGCTTGTTGGTCACTTGTCTGATGTATTCCCGACTACTAGCACCGTAGCTTACTAACACCACAGCCCACTATTAGGTGTTCGGTTCTCGATTCTGACGAATGTGGTAGGTGACATTGGCATCTAAACCCAATCCTCCTCCCAAAGTTGTGATGACGTCAAAAGTCTGGGGAAATGGCTTTGTAGAGTTTAGGTGATGCGCACCACAGACCCCCTCCCGTAGCCGCCGCCCGGGAGCCACTTCGACTTACCCGCATCTAGCCATCCTATGGGAACACCTCCGATTCTTTACCACTCGCGCTCGCCCTTTCGCGCGTACCTCATTTGTAAGCGGCCGTTTGGTCCCGGGTTCTTGCAGAGGTTCGAGGCCCCCTGTCTTTGATACATATTAAGGTTCAGTCAAAGTCTTTAACGTTCCCACGATGTCATGGCGAGGGTCATCTCTAAGTAAAATGAGATTACCATCCACGATTCCCAAGAGAATCTCAAAACACATCACACCCAGCGCAAACCGTACTTTCTCACACAGCCAGATCAGAGCTATCAGCATGGCGACAGCATACAAGATCAATGTTCCGGTGACGAACACGGGACTGTGGAAGTTTGATCAGAAAGATGCTGCCGCGAGCAAGGTGTCTGAGCTACTACAGGAGGATCTCGAGGTACGGACAAATTGTACCTTACATAGGAGTAGGCGGTATGCTAATATTGTACAGAAACATCATGTCTTCTTCAACCAAGAAGGCTTCCACAACCACGTGAGCTCAAATACTCGGATCATCTCATAGCCAGCCTCTAACATCGTTCAAGATCCCTCATCAGGTCCTAGCCCTCTTCGGTACCGGCGCAGGCCCCGACGCCATTCAAGCGGCGTACAAGGAAAACGCAGACTACCAGCGCCCAGCGCAGACCCCCCGTGATTCCGTCGCAGATGAGCTGCACGACTGGGACCGCGCGAAAGCGTACCTAGGCAAGGAAAAGCACTACCCAGACTTCCTCCTCTTCTTCCAGCGCGAGATTGAGAGGCTCGGGGGCTGGGAGGCGGCGTTGAAAGAGCACCTCTTCAAGGGCGACGAGCGCGCCGACGACATGTTCCAGCGTATGTTTGCGGGCTTTTTGCACCCCATTATCCAGCTCATGTATGGTGTCGAGTGGGAGCAGCCCGCCATCGTCGCCGAGGGGCTGGCACAGGCCGCGGTGCATAAGAACCAGCTCAAGGACTTTTTTGACGAGACGGAGAAGCGTGCGGCGGCAGCGAGTGAGCGTATGCCGCCGATTTCGGATCTTGTTGAGGAGATTCGTCGTGACCAGAAGCTTGCTCAAGCTGCTCAGATGAAGGACGCGAACAAGATCTTTGACGGGATTCTGAAGCGCGCGCCGGAGGAGATGCTGCGGATCGCGAGCAAGGTCAAGGTTCGTCCTGAGGAGCTTGACGAGAGGACGGCGGAGATGTTTCATACTGCCTTTTACGTTGCCGGCGGCGCGGCTCTTCGGCCAGGCAAGGAGCCAAAGTGGGATTTCTTCTTGATGTGGGTGTGATCTTTTTTTCGTCTTGGGAGAGGCTGGCGACAGGAATGCCAGACGCTGATGCTGTAAACAGTCACCACACGAACGCTGCGCCCATCTTCCTCAGTTTCAACTCCATGCCGTGGATCTCGACGGAGAACAAGGTGCGCATGCTGGAGTACAAGATCCGGATGGACCTGGTGCAGTATGCGGCGCGCGGGTGCCCGCCGCTGCGCTTGGAGGATGTCAAGTCGTACAAGCCAAAGGACAAAGATGAGGGCAAGGACTTGGTCTCCAAGCCGACTGGTGAGTTTTCCATCTTTCGTCATACTTAGAATAGTGGCTGATGGACTCCACAGACCTCCTTCCAAGATTTCACAACTTTGTAGATGACGGCCACACGATCAAGGTGGTCAGAGCACTTGGGATTTGCCAGGACCTTTCAGCGAAGTATGGCGACAAACCCTGGATCAAGATCAAGGATGGGGAGTGGCTCAACCTCACCTACATGTTGTTGGATAGCACTGAACATGACGAGACGAGATGGGTTCGCTCAGCGGGCTTTGAAGAGGCGTGGAAGGTGAGACAAAAAACCATCGTTTGGAATGTAAATTCATGATATTGACGCTGCTTCTAGGACGTCCCTGCTCGCGATTGACTAGCCGACGGTGACAGGACGATATCAAGGTTGTAAATGAATGAGATGGGACGGCATAAATGTGACAGTAGCAAAATCATGGCAGCTTGACAAAACGGGGGGGGGTATACATTTGTAATAACATCTATGGTTTATTCTAGCCCAATCCACTCATCTCCGTCGGAATCGCTCTGGCCCTCATCCGCATCGCCAATCGCCAAAGTCTTGGCGGGGGCGTCGAACGCGGCCAAATCTAGCATTTTTACACCGGTCGTCTCCTTTTCGTTGCTGGCCTGGCCCAACAGATAGTCCACCATGTACACATTATCGTCCGCGAGCCTCCTGATCTCGTCGCGCATCCTCGAGACGGCCCTGGCCACGATTCTCAGCTCGACGTCCACCTTGCCCCTGTGCTGCGTGAGCCAGGCGCCGTGCTTGTCCACCAGCGCCTTGACCCAGAGCAGGCAGAACTCAATATGCGGCGTCTCCTCCGTCTGGGCCGCGACGAAGCGCAGTAACCTCGGAACGTAGACGATGGGCATATCCTGGACGACCAGAGCAATGTCCGTGTGCGGTATTGAGAGGAAGACGCGCTTGATGAGGCCGGCCTCGTTGAGGCGGAAGGCCATGACCAGGGCTTTGAGGTAGTCCTTTTCGTTCTCCAGGACGGCGAGCGTGGATGCGGGGGTGATTTCCATGTTGAGGTCAAAGGGGTCGAACTGCATGAGGTTGTCGAGGCTGTAGATGAGCAGGCCCTCTGTTGTGGCAGCGCAGAAGGCCGTGCCGGTAGGTGTGAATGCAACGCCCGAGACGCGGACCTCTGGCATCCTCTTCCTCGCAGAAGGGTCGCCGCGCTTGGAGCCCGGCAGGGAGTCGTCTCTCCTGTCCTCGGGGTCCGAGGCCTCGCCCTGATCATCGATCAGACCGCCGGGGCCGGCCTCGGTAAGGAGCTTGCTGTTGAGGAACTCTTGCGTTCCGGACAGAGACAGGTTGACGCTGACTGTGTACTTCTTCAAAAGAACCATAGTATGAACAGAGTACAGGCAGATGTACTTGCTGTTGCCACCGGCAAGCAAGCAGCTTCCGTCAGTGCTGTACTGAATGGTGTTGAAGCTCTTTGTGCCCGCCACGTTGGCGGCCGTCCTCCGATCAGTGAGCTTGCGTCCACCGGAAACGTCACGACGGCCGTCCAGTCCAGACACCTGCTCAGCATCCATGATGGACCAGAAAGACAGCTGACCATCCAACGTTGAAATCGCCAGTTGTAAAGAGTCAGGGCGCACAGCGATATCGAGGATATCGGCCTGCAGCTGCAAAGGCTCGCTCGTTTGTGTCCTGTTGAAGATGGACCAAATTCTTGCGGTGCGGTCCCAGCTACCACTGACAAGGGAGTTGCCGTTTGGTGTGAAGGCTAGGGCCGACACGGGACCCTCGTGACCGGTGAGCTGGTCCAGAAGCTGTCCCGTCTGAACGGACCAGATATGAATATCGAAAGAGTCCAGAGATCCAGCCGCGACGACCTCGCCGCTAGGGTCAACGGCCATACATGACCATGACAGCCTTGTCGGCGCTGTGAATGTGCGGAAGTTTCTGTATCTGATGAGATCCCAAGCTCTTACGGAGCCGTCAAGACTGGATGTGAATAGTACGTTGCCCTTCTTTGAGAACTCGCAGGCCGTGACACCACTTGTGTGCTCCGTGAAGGTGACGATGCAGAAACCAGATTCGGTATCCCAAACCTTAATCTTGCCGTCATCGGCAATGGTGACGATGCGCTGTCCATCGGGGGAGTAGACCAAGTTGTTCATGGAGTCAAAGTGGCCCTGCTGCTTCAGGATATACGACTCGGATTGCCATTCCCACACCAGGAGTTGCCCCAACTTTGATGCGCCAAAGGCTAACCACTCTCCGCTCTTGTTGATCGTCACAAAGTCGATCTCGTTTTGAGAAATGTTGAGAGTGTGGATCATGTTGAAGTCGGGCAGCTCGTACAGACCGAAAGTTCCGTTGGAGAAACCGGCGACAAGAAGGTTGGACTCGGGGTGAAAGGTTGCGCATCGGACATGCGCACTGTTCTGCATGAAGTAGTGTCTGTCGACAATTCTCCAGCGCATGTCGTCCTCGTCCTCGTCCACCATCTCGTCTTCATCCTGAACCGGCTTTCCAACGTACTTCCAGTCGAACACAGCGCCGTCCTTGCTGACGGTGTAAATGGTTTCCTGGTCCTCCGAGAACCATGCCCCCACCACAGCCTGCTTGTGTCCCGAAAGTACCGTCGGCACGAACCCCTCCTCACGATCCAGACTCCATATTCTTGCGGTCAAATCCTTGGAGGTACTAAGGAAGAATCGCGAGTCGCTGGACCACTCGATGCTGCGCACTTCGTCAAAGTGTTGTGTGTGGGTGTGGTGCTTCACAAACGGCGCGAACTCGAGTTCTCCTTCGGCATTCGCATCTGGTGTGGACGGCACATGCCAGACTTCGATCTTGCGGCCCAAACCAACAACGAAATGGCGTCCGGAAGGCGAGAAGGAGAGGGCGGTGACAGAAGAGCGGAACGAAAATCGGTAAATGGGGATTCGGCGGAGGACGTTGGTCAGAATAGCCTGGCCATCTTCGTCAATGGACAGTAGCAGGTTTCCTCGAGGAGTGAGACCGATTCGCGAGATATTTTTCCGGTGCGCGAAGGGAAGAGTATGTGACTTGTTGCTGATAGGAAATTAGCATGGAAATGTTTGAGTTGCGCCGACTTTTGAGGCAGAACATACTTCACCAGGTCGAAGACAGTAACCCTGTTCCCCACGGGCGAGAACAAATGGGTGCCATCTGGGCTGAAGAGCAGGTTGCCCTGGCAGTACACCGTGCCGAGCAAATTGGAAAACTAGAAATTGAAGCAATGGTCAGAATCGCATGCGAATTAGGGGAAAATCCTGCAAAGCGTACCTTAAAATCGGTCTTCATTGTCAATTAGCACCCATTTCCTCACCTTGAAGCTACCGAAATTCTCTCCAAACCAAAGATTTTCTTATCGATTGAAGGCGCGCTCTGCAACTTTTTGGCGGGGTCGGGGAATCATTCATCCTAATTTCCGCGGTCTAATCCCCTCCGGGCTAGACATACTGTTGGTGAAAGTGCCAGGGGGAAAGAGGGGAATGATTGGCAGGAAAAGGGGGTCCTAATTAGTCCCCTGCGAAGGGCCCAATGAGTGTGCACCACCCAACCCCAGAAGGCCGAATGGGAAATTTGGAGGTGGCACCTTTTGATTCCCCTGAAGCACAAGCTCAAACCTCCCCAACTCAACCGTCAACACGCCCACACCGCAACCACATCACGAAAACAGTCGCGCGTTCAATTGCGATTCTTGCGGCCAAAGACCCTCTCACAGGCATCAGAAACGAATTTAGATTTGTTTAATCGTCAAATACCGCCCAAAATGGCCCCCGCCGCCGCCGAGAGCGCTTCACCGATTGGTATCGCCAACCTCCCTAACCAGCGACACAAGATTGTCGCCAAGCGAGGTGCTGCCTTCACTATTATGGTATGTCCATTCTCGTGTGACGGAACACATGATAATATGTCATGCCGGGGAATACTAACAAAATCGTTAGGTTGCTGGCGAGTCTGGCCTCGGAAAGACCACCTTCATCAACACCCTGTTCTCCACGACCATCAAGAACTATGCCGACCACAAGCGCCGTCACCAGAAGCAGGTTGACAAGACTGTCGAGATCGAGATCACCAAGGCTGAGTTGGAGGAGAAGTTCTTCAAGGGTATGGCTCTTGCTTGCCAATTCCCGTGATGTGGATCATACGATTAACACGGATTACAGTCCGCTTGACCGTTATCGATACCCCCGGCTTCGGCGACTATGTCAACAACCGCGATTCCTGGATGCCCATCATCGAGTTCCTTGACGACCAGCACGAGTCCTACATGCTTCAGGAGCAGCAGCCTCGCCGCCAGGACAAGATCGACCTCCGTGTCCACACCTGCCTGTACTTCATCCGCCCTACTGGCCACACCCTGAAGCCCCTCGACATCGAGGTTATGAAGAGACTCTGCTCGAGAGTGAACCTGATTCCGGTCATCGCCAAGGCTGATACTCTTAGCCCTGCGGACTTGGCCAAGTTCAAGGCTCGCGTAAGTTTGGATTGACTTGCTTGTCGGAAACAAACAGACTGACCACTGGGTGCTTCAGATTCGCGCTGTCATCGAGGCCCAGAGCATCAAGATCTACCAGCCCCCTGTCGAGGAGGACGACGAACCCGCTGCTCAGCACGCCCGCAGCTTGATGGCTGCGATGCCCTTCGCTGTCATCGGTTCCGAGAAGGACGTCAAGACCGGCGACGGACGCATCGTCAAGGGTCGCCAGTACTCTTGGGGCGTTGCCGAGGTCGAGAATGAGGACCACTGCGACTTCAAGAAGCTGCGGTCAATTCTCATCCGTACCCACATGCTCGACCTCATCCACACCACCGAGGAGCTTCACTACGAGGCCTACCGCGCCCAGCAAATGGAGACCCGCAAGTTTGGCGAGGCCCGCCCCAGGAAGCTCGACAACCCCAAGTTCAAGGAGGAGGAGGAGGCGCTCCGCAAGCGCTTCACCGAGCAGGTCAAGATCGAGGAGCAGCGTTTCCGCCAGTGGGAGCAGAAGCTCATCGCCGAGCGCGACCGTCTCAACAAGGATCTCGAACAGACCCACGCCCAGATCAAGCAGTTGGAGACCGAACTGGAGCAGATGCAGGGAAGTGCCGTCCGCAGCCACGGTCGCCGTTAAGGGCATTCGAACGTGAGGGTTTCCCCTCGATTTTTGAGCGGTTTGTTCCTGGGCGATTGGTGCTTGCTGGATTCTCGACACTTTTACCTTTTTATTTCTTCTATTCGGGGATCGAGAGCACCAACTCGCTGCAATATCGTCTTTTTGACGCGTCATCATGGATATGCTAGCTTCTAGCCTACCCAAATGGGCTCGACTCATTTGGCTGAATTCGCCTGTATGAGCCTCAAGTCTCCACTATCAGTCGAAAAATGGGAAGAAAAACACAAAACGTGCCCTCTGGGTATGGTATGAGATGGACGTTACATTGGGAGCTCTCTTCTTCCCAAGAACCTGTTACCCCCCTTTTTTTCTCCGTTTAGTTATCCCCCACCTGTTTCTTAGTCACGATGTAATCCAGCTCACCTTTTCATGATACCAAAATTAATGAGAAAGGCGTCTACCTTATAGTCCCAATTGTTTCATGCGTGTGTCTGCAACGATATGCTACCTGTGTAGATGGGTGTCTGTGTGTGTGTGCTCCTGTTCCCAAGAAAAAAAAAATGAAGTCCTATTGTGTGTCGCCAGTATGGTATCGTTACATTTGCGCCGCCTTTGCACCCCATGTCTCTAAGAGATCGTTTCACACACTTATACTGCATCCATCGTGGCCCTGGTCGTCAACTGCTCATTCTTGTTACCCAGCTTGGAAATCTGAAGAAAGGCGTCCACGCCGTACCCCTCGAGACTGTGCAGTTCGAGGCTGCCGGCCCAGTACTCGGCATAGACCCGGCTCAGGGGTAGGCCCATGCCCAGCCGCAGATCGGGCGGCCGGCTCGTCATGGAGGCGAGGGAGTTACCATGGGTGTGGGCGTGACTGTGGTTGTTGGGGGTCTTCATGTCGGCGCGGCCCAGCTCATCAGAGACGTGGAGCTCCTGCATGGTGGCGGCCAATTTGGGCACGCGGCCTAAGTTTTCGAGGCGGCGCTGGCTCTGGGGGCCCTTTGAGAAGGACCAGAGGTAGGGGAGCTCCTCGCGCGGGATGCCGCCTCCCTGGTCCGAAATGCGGATGATTACGTGCTGCTGCGCCTCGCAGATGGTGACTTCGATGGGCGGCGGGGGGTTATTGTCCGCGTCTTTGGCCTTGATGTTGTTGTTGTTGTCTTTGTTGCTCCGCTGCCTTCGTTCTATGACGGCCTGGACGGAGTTGCGGAGGAGCTCACCGATGATGTACTCGAGGTGGCTGAGGATGTAGGGGAAGCTGGACTCGAGGTGGCCCTCGACCTTGATCTCGGGGACCTGGACGTCGTGGCCGTAGGTGGAGCGGGCGAGGCTCTGGACGGCGCGGGTGCAGCGCTCGATGACATCCTTTGCAATGCACTTTATAAAGACCTCGCCGATGAACTCGGACTCAGAGAGCTTTGCGCCCGGGGAGAACCAGGGGGAGTGGTAGGTTTCTGTGAGGGCGAGGTGCTGCTCTGCGATGACTCTCCTTGATATTCTCTGCATGACGTTCAAGTTAGGCCTACGTGGGTCTGCGCGGGGTGTGTGTACCATGGCTGCAAGAGCACCTACAGATCGCAAGACTGTGTTCATGAATTTGTCGAGGTCCTTGGCATCCATGCTGCCTCTGCTTTCCAAGATGCCCATGGAGAGCTTAGGTATGACGGTGAGGTGCGCCTTGAGCATCCCGCTGATGATTTGGCAGAATTTCTCATTGTCCTCGAGAGTCTTGATCTCCTTGATCTTGCGAAAGGTGTCGAATGCATTATTGTATAATTCGTAGACTTCTTTGATATGGGTGTTCGTGACAACGACATAGGGCAGCTGTTGCATGTCTCGAATGCGATGTGCTATTCTGTTGCGAGTGTCAGTCTGTGACTGTTTTGAAAGCATGAAGGTAGAGAACGCGGGGCACCCTACCGAGTCGGCAGCTCAGTTCGAACATAGTTGGCAGAGCTCAAGAGTCGTGATTCGGTAAGGGAGCGGCCAAAGACCATGAGCTGGCGCAAGCTGATCGGGCGTGCTTCTCTCACGACCCATCTGAGAGACCTTTGTTAGCATGTGACGATAGGAAGTGCCGGGGGGCGGGAATGGACGCACTCGTCTAGGACAGAGACTGGTCTCCAAGTGGAACTGCTCATTGAACGCCATGACGACGAAGTGATGCCATTCTCACGTAGCCTCCTGGGCGCAGGCAGCATTGCCCTCCTGGGGGCTGATGTCAATCCGCATCGTCTACCGGCATGCCGCAATGCGATGGACACCATGCCGTAAATTCCATACGAGTGGGAGGTAAAAATGAAGGAAGAAAAAAACTTTCGTGTACTTGGTCAAGTCGCAAGAACGCGGCCTCGAGCGGAGCAAGAAAGAAAAGAAGCTTCTTAGGTGGAAAGCTCCTCAAAGGGGGTTGGGTATATGAGCGATTTTGAGGTCAAGAGGTATGTTGCAAAGTAGGTTGGGCAGCTGTTGAAGCTGTCTCGAGAGAGGCGTGACCGGTCGACAGATTGGATGACTCTCGCATCGAGAACGGCCGGCGGTTGCTACCTTGCAGGGTCTGGAACTATAACCCCACACTGCGGAATCGGCGCACCATGCTGCGGACTGCCGCAACGGGCAACCCTGGTCTCCTTGTCTCCAGCGCCAGAAACGACGTGACATGATTGGTTTTGTTGACGGGCCGTGGACCCACACCCCTCTCCCCTCTGGGGCCCTGGCGTCCGCGAGCTCCAGCTTGATCTACGCAGGTAGAGGTGTGCCCTTCCCGTCTGGCCCTCCCGTCTCTGCCAGGTTGGGAACCCAGTTCCGTCAGATGACAATGTTCGGTCAGCATTTTCAGCCATGGGGGAAAGCTGAGGTGTGTGAAGATACCGAAGACCTCCGTTGAAGAGCATGTGCTGGTAGTATGCGTTCCTGACGAGATTTGGCAAAGAACTTACCTTAACTACCACCTGAGTTTGTAGATTCACTCAAACGGCCCTCTCTTGCAAACCATACTAAAGTTTTACCTGGTGGAAACACAGAGTGCTCAAACATATGTTCTAAGACTCCTATGCCTGATTTATGGTCAGACGTTTTGTTCCTTGAAAAGAGACTGATCCTGGCGGTGTGAAAGACTATAATGGCGGAGACGGTAGAAAATGGTGCCAATACCCAAGGTGGTATTCGATAGTATTTTCCCGGTGAGAGCTGTCTATGGGGCACTGAAAGGAAACCCTGATAGGCTAAAAGTATTCAACACCAGTTGGACGCTGTTGGCAGTTGCGAATGCACGGGTGACGGGTCCAAGGGGCCCGGGGATATTATCTGCCTCGGGAGTCGTGCTGCACTCGGATGGAGGGGTGAGGTGGCATAAGTGGGGATCTGACTAAGGAACATATTGGCTTGTTCTCGTCTTCTAGGATCTTACAAGAGGTGTTCAAGGAAGGGCGACGGCATCTCAATGATTCATGGTCTAGCATTTCTTCACCTCGTCTTGACATGTGGAACTAGGTTCTTAGGCAACCCTGGCAAGACAAAAGGACCATATCAGAGAGCACAACGCAGGGCACGGATGTTCGAGCAGAGGGCTGAAAAGAGCACAACGTCCAACATCTATGAACCAAGCAAACTATGGAATAGAGAGCAATGTCTCCGGCAGTCATAGATGACATGGAAAAGATGAGCCTTGCATGTGCAATGTACCCATGTTGTAGTGCTCATATATCCATGACATGGAAACTTTACTGCGGCCAGCCAGTATGAGTACCAGGCTCTTGGGATGCCCACATTTCGGATGAGTCGAGCGACCAGTCAGTGAGGAAGGCAAGCGGCGCGAAAGCTTTCAATGCTCACTTCAGCCGAATCCGGTGCTTCAGACCGTCCGCATAAGTGAAGGCGAATCTCATTAGAAGTATGACAGGTTGGCTGGTTGCTTGTAAGAGCTATCCGTGGAGGAACAGCCCGCTCAGAAGTTCGGGACCAGAGGTGTGTCATGCTCGGAGGAGGAACACTCGTTGTTTGTCAAAAACAGATTTGTTGTTTAGCGTCCGTTCTGTAAGTAGGTACGGCAGAAATTGGCTGTATCCCCATGTGAGACTAGACGTATAGATCAAAGTTTCAGGCGATGAGATGGGGTTGCAAAACTAAGCTACCTTGACACTGCTTGCTTACTGAATATGTCTGTGGAGGATCTGATGAGCCCTAGGCGTTTACGTCAGCCATCCGTTAGTCCAGCTTTTGCTTGACCAAGTTAAACGTTTGAAGAAGTGGTGGCTGATATGCAAGGCTGAAATGACCTGAGTCGATCAGATGTTAAAAAGACAAACCCGCTGGCATCACTACAGCAGTATCAGGTCTCAGAAACACAGCTGGGAGGTGAAAGGAAACTGGAATGGGCAAGCTCTGTTGGCAGTCACAGAAACGTCATTGGATGTGTGGGGGCCTTCTACCCCAATCAGAGGGGTGAAGACCATCTGGGTAGGTGTAGCTTGTGCTAGCCAGACAGCGGCTTCATTGTGTGGCTGCATCAGAGCAGCAGGTGAAGTGCCTTACACGCAAGCTCACCTTTGCCCCCAGCTGGCCGGTAGAAAAGGTCCTATGCAGGCCTCAGGTACTAGCCACGGCATGATTTGACCCGGATCTGTTAAGACAACAGCAGCGTCTCAGTCAACAGTCCTAACATAAACTATGTACCCTTTCACTCCTCTGCCTGCTCCTGCTCCTCACAGCCGAGCACTCGATTAATAAGGTAATGCCTGACATTTAATACTTTTGGTCTCACGAGGGCCTTTCTGGGACTCTAATGCTGCACTGCGCCTCACCTTTCTCTCACTATTCTATTCTCTCCACCATGACAACCTAGAAAATTGAGTTGCCTGTCTTGATCATAGCAGACACTGGTGTAAGGCCATCTCATTGCTCCTGTCTCATTCACTCAAAAAAAAAAAACGTTTCATAAAGGCGGATTTACTGTGACCCTCTACACCTTCTACCAGAGGTGTCTACACGTTGACTGAGGTGCCTTCACTGCCTCTTGCCCA